CATCTCCTAAGCTGTTTTTTGGGCTTCTATCCCTTTAGGATATTCAATTTCAGTTAAAGAAGCTATTTTCATAGGATCATGGGATCTAGAGAATAAAAGGTCCTTGGAAGTCACTTGTCCATTGCGCTCCTCAAGCTCATAGGAGCTAAATGACTTGCCTTGAGTAACACAGCTAATAAGCATCTGAGGCAAGATTTGAGTTCAGGTCTTCCTGACTCCATGTCCAACACTCTGTCTACTATGACACCAGCTGCCCCTGATGGAGTAGAACATGTTCTGAGAGTAGAGAATGTTCCAGTCCAGTAGAAGCGTGGCTTGGATGGAAGGTAGTGTCGCTTTCAAAGGGCACAAAACTTAGAGAGAAAGCTAAAAGGCAGAGTGGCAGCAGATCATGGAAGGCTGAGCACACCAAGCTAAGGAGCCTGCATTTCACTCAGGAGACAATGGGGAGGTGATGTAAATTTCTGTTTACAAGAGTGACATCACCAGGTGTGCATGCATGAAAGATAACCTTGGAAGCAATATGGAGGATGGATTGGAAATGCGATGACATGTAAGAAGGATATAGTAAATATTCTGGGCATTTGGAAGTGTGGACCTGAACAAATGTGGGGACCTTGACATCATGAATCTTAGAGATTAAGTGATTTGTCCAAGGTCTTGAAAGCAGTAAAGATCAAAGGCATGGCTTAAATCCAGGCCAGCTCTCCCTCTGGTACACCAGGCTGTCTCTCATAATATGTAAATGTTTCAGATCTTGAAGGGAGAGGTTATGCTGAGGGCTGGGACTGGGGAAAAGAAGGAATCTAGGAAGAGATGAATAGATTAGAGCCTTGAAAGTACTGATGTGAAAGACTACCCAGTAATTCCATTGCCTCTGGAGACAGGAAAAGGAGGCTCTACTGGGCTCTTCTGTCTTTCTTGTTTTTGTTCTTGTGAGTTCTTGTTCTAGTTAGGGGCTGTTCCCTGAAAGAGGGCCAAAGTAATCAATTCTAGTGGCTTTAATACAGGCAGCTAGGTAGCCCAGTGGATAGAGCACTGGTTTTGGAATCAGGAAGACTCATCTTTCTGTGTTCAAATTTGGCTTCAGACACTTACTAGCTGTGTGACCCTGGGTGAGTCACTTCACCCTGTTTGCCTCAGTTGCCTCATCTGTCAAATGAGCTGGAGAAGGAAATGGCAAACCACTCTAGTATCTTTGCCAAGAAAATCCCCAAATTAAGACAACGAAGAGTTAGACATGGCTGAAATGACTCAATAACAACAACAAAAGCTTTAAACTAACTTCTTTCCATAATGAGAGTTAAGAGGTAGTATGACATAGTAGAAAAAATAGCACAAGAGATTTAGAGTCAAGAGACAAGGGTTCAAATCTTACTTAATAGCTATGTGACCTTGGGCCAGTCACTTATCTTCTCTGAAGCCGGGAGATTTTGTTAGCTTCTCTACTAAACCTTAGATCACATTGTAATCTCTGTTGGAGCAAGACTCAAGTAAGTCCTCTTGGTAGCCAGACTGGGCAGGAAAGGATCAAAGTTGAAACTTCATCGTTGTTTGATCTTCCCCTCCACCAGAAGTTTGAAACTGGTAAACGCAGAAGCATCTGCTAGGGTTCCCCTCGTCCTCAGCTTGAGACTCCACCTGGGAGTGACCAAGGTGACCCTGTGAGGCACTGCCTGATTTATTGGTTCTACTGATTCTACAAGTCAGGCATCTTATCGGGGGGGGGGGCACTTAAGACCTCTGCTGTGTTGACATTTCTCACGTGTAGGCACTAAGCAAATATTAACATATATTCAAAGATGAAAGAGCACCTTTGTACCATCGATGGGTCTGCCGATTATACCTGGACTTCAATTTTCCCTCCTCCTCTCTCCAATCTGACAACTCTATTTGCCTATTTGTCAGATACTCAGTACTAGAGATCCACGTAGGTACGTAGCAGCTTAATTCCACCAGCCCCATTTCAGACAGATGAAATGCAAAAATAAGTTGGCCAACAAATCTATTGAAACTGTTCTTTCTTCCTCATTCTCAGCAGTGTTTAAAGGTCACCAAATTGTTGAAAATGGGTGCAATAACTCTCTGCAAGAGAAAATACCAGCTAGAGAAAGTTTCATCCACTGAATGTTGTCACTTATGCTTGGAGGGCAAGATTTGCTTGGAAAGGAAAATGGGTGCCCTAGATTTGGAAGCATTCAAACTCCCTTCGTTTGGCAGCCAAGGTTAAGGATCTCTATTGTTCATGTTGGGGAATCAATGGAGAGAAGTCAATCAATGAACATTTATTAATTACCTATTTTGTGCAAAGAACTGGAGAGTAGTCAATCAAAAAGTATATCTTAATCACCTACTATGTGCAAAGAACTACACCACACTCTGGGCATGAGGACAAAAATGAACCAATCACTGGCCTCAGGAGCCCTTTAATTCTAAGACAGAGCTTCCAAATTTTACACTTAGAAAAATGAACTAGAAAAAAGTAATTGTTTTTATTGAATAGTCATTATACAAAACTGAGGTTAAAACATCATGGCTTAAAATCAATAAATAATCATCAAGCACATATTATGCATTTGAAGAGTAGTTACTGAGGATACAATAATAACCGTGGCAGCATTTAAGTCAGACTTTAAGGTTAGCAACGTGCTTTACATACAATCTCGTTTAATCTTCACAACAACTCTGTAGGGTAGATGTTGCTATTATCCTTATTTTACAAATGAGGAAAATGAGGCTGAGAGGCTAAGTGACTTGTCCAGGGTCATGCAAGTGTCCAAGGCAAGATTTTTTTTACTAAGTACAATTCTTTATCCACAAGGGCCACCAAAACACAAGGACAAAAATGAAAAGGTGTCTACCCTCGAGGGGCTTCAATTCAATTGAAGGAAACAAAACATCTCTAAATATTCAAGGCAACCAACTCAATTGTAATCATTGCCAATAGAATGCCTTTATTTTGGCTTCCTGCCGTAGGTGGAAAAACATCTAAATGTTTAGGAATCTGAAGAGCTGTTGCCCAGTCTTTGTTGACAAGTCTTCCTTAAATTAATCAATCAATCAAATATTTATTAAGCATTTACTATGTGTCAGGCACTGAGCTAGGCCTGAGATTCAAGTACAAAGTATGAAACTTCCTATTCCCAAGAAGCTTACATTTTAATGGAGGAACAACAATATGGAATGAATGTAAAGGGAACCAACACAAAGAAATACAAAGAAGAGTAGTTTGGGAGAAGGGCACTAGCAGTGGAGGAGTAAAACAGTGCAGGCTTCATGTAGAAGGTGATGGTTGAGCCAGGTCTTGAAGGAAGAAAAGGATTCCATGAGTAAGTGGTGAAGAAGAGTGAGTGCATTCCAGGCACTAGGAATAGACAGTCAGGGAGATGGGAGATAAGTGCCTTGCTCAAGGAACACAGAGAAGGCCAGTCTGAACGGACTTCAACCTTCCAGGATGGCATACTGTGAAGATAGGTTGGGACGAGATTGTGAAGGGCTTGAAATGCCAAACAGAGGAATTTAAATATTGACCTAGAGTCAATAGGGGGGACTTTCTATTGACCTAGAGAGATTTCTTTCTCTTACTTTTTTTCTTCAACTTCTTCTACACCAAAAAAATAAATGAATGAATGAATGAATGAATGAATAAATGAATAAATAAATAAGATCCAAGAATCAGTGGAAACAATGTGGAGTTTGTGCGGGCTTAAATTCTTTTACATTTACCACCTCTGTGACCTTGCTCAAATTATCAGTTCTCTCTTGGCCTATTTCCTCAATCATAATAAAATGAAGAGAGTAAGACATCATCTTCATCATCAATCAATCAATCAATCATTTTATTAATCCTACTGTATGCCAGGCACTGTGACACAAAAAAAAAAGCAAAACCCCGTTCCTGCCTTCAGGGAGCTTACAATCATTATCCTCTCCATCACCATCATTATTTAATGATGTATAACTAACGTATAGCCCTTCAAGGTTTTTCATGCTCTTTAAATATATTGTAGCATTGAGACCTCACAACAGCTTTTAAAGTTGGTATTATTATTATTCCCATTTTACAGGTGAGGGGCTAAGAAATTTGAATAACTTGCCCAAGGTTGTAGAACTAGTTAGGTGCAAAGGCAACATTTGAACCCATGTCTTTATAACTCTGTGGCAGCTAAGTGTCGAAGTGAATGGAGTGCCAGGCCTGGAGTGAGGAAGACTCAACTTCCTGAGTTCAAATCTGGCTTCAGACACTCACTAGCTATGTGACCCTGGGTAAGTCACTTAACCCTATTTACCTCAGTTTCCTCATCTGTCAAATGAACTGGAGAAGGAAATGGCAAACCACTCTAGTATTTCTGCCAACACAAAAAAATGCAAAAAAACCCCCCAGTATTTCTGCCAAGAAAACCCCAAATGGTGTCACTAAGAGGCATCTTGACTGAAAACAACCAGGTAACTCCATAACTCCAAGTCCGTTCTGCAATTCACTAAGTCAGGCTGCCCTAGGGTGAGTCCATCACCAGACATGTCTCATGTTTCATCATGGGTCCTCAGGAATCATGGTTGGTTATGGCATTGATCAGAGCTCTGACATCTTTCCAAATCCATCCATACCTTTATCCAGAATCCACCTAGAATAACCAAAGGAGAGAAAATACACATCAAGTGCCTCATGTTGTCCCACAATGCCCCCTTCTGGCCAAACCTGGGGTGTTTTTTTTTCTTCCTGGTCCCCAGAGTTCTTGGAAGCTGGAGCCTTAGGGATTGAATGGACTCTCTTACTGGCAGCCTTGGTGCTGGATTCCAAGCTCTTTGTCTATTTACATTCCAAATTACCACGAGTTGTTAAATCAACACAGAGGTAACAGAGCTCACTTGAGCTTAAGGCGAACACCTGAGAAAACTGGGCAGCTGTGGGGAGTGTTTCTACAGACTTAGCCAGTCCTTCTTTTGACTGCAAGCAGCTGGTACCGGTGCCTTCTTCCTTGACCTGCTGACACAGTTCACAGAGTCACCAGTGGGGTGCCAACAGGACCTGCTGATTGCAAAGTGTGGGTATGTCCAATTGTGTTTTCTCTATTGGATTATAAGCATTCTTACTAAGCTAAGGGGGCTCCTGCGAATACAATAGGCTTAAAAAATTAATAAGAGGAAAATGAACTTGAAAATTTAAAGAATTTCAAAAGAGCCCAAAGGGTCCTAGAGTAAAATAAAACCAGGAATACAATTACTCTTCCCCAAATGGCTAATCGGCCACCCCAATCCAACATATCTATTTCATTTGCGGCTCGGTGCAATAGGAGGAGTTGGCAGCCAGATAAAAACGCGGGTGACGTCAAAGATTCCTTCTTGCTGTCATATCTGACCCTGCTCTGAAAATGGAGGTGTGTTATATTGAGGACAAGGTGCTGAGGTGTTTAGTTCAGGGAAGCATATGGAACAAACCACAGTCCTTAATACAAAGGAGTGCTAGAAACTTGGTACTTGGCGAGACTTTGCTTTGAGGGCGTGGGCTTGAATTTACCTTACCGAGCCAAATTGGGCCAAGAGGCATACCTCTCCTGCCCCCTTAAGTCTAGAAAAGCTCTTGGACATGGCGTGCCCCAGATTGGCAGTGCCAACTTGGCACTGGTCATACTATCTGCTGGGTAGTGTCATAGAGTATCCAAAAGCTACTATCAACCAGTCCAAGCCCTTCATTTGGATGGAGATGGAAACTGAGCCCCACAGAGGTTACACAGCTTGCCTAAAGTCACACAAGTAATAAATGGTAAGGGTAGGATTCAAATCCAGGTCCTTTGACTTGAAAATGCTGCCTTCTTTCTGTTGTGCCATAGAATCATAGTCGTGAAAGTAGAAGGGACTCTAGAGGATATCTGGTCATGGGATTATAAATCTAGAGCTAGAAGGGACCCCCTTATTTTACAAATGAGACAATTGAGGCCCAGAAGGGTTAAGGGACTTTCCCAAAGTAATACCAGCAGTAAGTGTCAGAGGAAAAATTTGAACTCAGCTACTCTGACTTAAGGCTACCTCTACGTACTGGAGTGGGAGATCATGGGGGAAGGAAGAAGGAAGGAATGATTATTTATTAAGCACCTACTATGTGCCAGGCACTGTGCTAAGTGCTTTATAAATATTATCTCATTTGAACCTCACAACAACCCTGAGAGGTGGGTGTTATTAGTGTGAATTTTACAGTTGACAAAACTAAGCAGAGGTTAAATGACTTGCCCAGGATCACACAGCTAGTAACTATCTGAAACCAAATTTGAACTTCAGTCTCTTTGAGACCCAGTATTTTATCCACTGAACCACCTAGGTTCAGATCTGAACCCATTTGAACGTGGATTCAAATCTCAGCTCCTTCACTTCCTTGACGAAAGTCTTTCCCCATGCTAAATCTGTGACCCTCCCACCTTGGACGAGCCCCTTTGCTGCTCTAACGCTAAATTTCCTCATCTGTACAAATGAGAATTATTCTGACTGCTTCTCCATGTAGCTATGAGGATCAAATGAAACATTCATTTACAAAACGTTTTCATCACAACCAGCCTGTAAGGTAATTGAGGGATTCTTTTAAAATTTTCTAGGCTTAAAGCAGCAGGAGACGTATGACTCCTGGTCCAATTTGGCTCAGTAAGGTAAATTCAAGCCCACACTCTCAAAGCAAAGTCTCCCCAAGTCCAGATCTAAAATGTAAAATTCTTTTAAAATATCTGTTGTTTAATAAGAATGTATACGTAGAGCTTGTATCAGATTGCACGCCATCTTGGGGAGGGAAACAGGGAGGGAGGGAGAGAAAATTTAAAACTCAAAAGCTTATGGAAATGAATGCTGAAAACTAAAAATAAATTAATTAATTTAAAAATAAAATTAATATTTGTTTTTATTCTGAATTTAACAAATACCCATTAAGAAAGGCACAATGTGCATTCTGAATAGAAGAGAACATGAAACTGCTGACTTTCTATCAGTTTGTAGCTTTCAAAGCTATCTTGTTCTTGCATCCTTCTCTTCTGAGAGTATATTCTTATTATCCCCATTTTAAATCAGCTATTTTTATTATTTTAATTAAGCACTCTTTAGTTCTAGTATATGCATTAGGTGCCCTTGGCCTGTTTGTCATTCATGTGTCTCCATTTTTATTTCTGATGGGCTGAATACATTGTGTCACAGTGAGCCCCGAGTCAGAGAGACCTGAGTTCAAATAAGGTCTCAGACGTTTACTAGTTGTGTGACCTTGGACAAGTCACTTAATTTCTGCTTGCCTTAGTTTCCCCAACTGTGTAATGGAGATCATAACATCTACCTCCCAGAGTTGTTGTAAGGATCTAATAAGATAATATTTGTAAAGTGCTTAGTGCAGTATATCAAGGTACACTTGGTACTTAATAAATATTTCTCCTCCTCCTCTTCCTCCTCCTTATCATCATTTGGGGGAGGTGGGAAGGGTCTTGGAACTCTTTTTAATTATATTGATTACATTAATTATGCTAATAATGAAGTAGGAAGTATGGAATTTTTGGTATGGAAACTCTCTTCCCACCTCTGGATTCAGTAATTTATCTGTAGAGAGTTGGCCAGACTACTGCCCAGACTTCTTCCTATTTACTCAGAATGAAATTATTTTCATAAAAAGGTCTTCTACTCTTTATTGCGTTATATGTTAGCCACTCAGACTGGTCTTCCATTGTTCTTGCATGAGTGGCTTTCCAAAAAACGCTGCTGGTGCCCCACAGATGTCCAAATTTACAATGACAAGCTCTTTATGGTAGAGTCATGGGTGATAAGATTGAGAAGCAGGGCTTGGGCCTCCTCCAAGATCCAGGTGGAACCTTGGAATGAGTGCAGGATTTTTCTGGGGTTAATCTCCTAAGGGCCTTAACTTCTCTCTCCACCTTGGAGGCCTTGGGAGGTCAGGGACTCAGCAGTCTCCCCAAGCCTGTTGGCTCTCTACCTAGTCATCCAATCTTCTGAATTGAGTTAACCCCACTGGCTTTGATAACGTGGGGTTCATGATTCCAGTCAATCCCTAGCAGCCGGAGGTTTGAGAAATGAGCTTTAGGTAGGTCCAGCAGAAATCTGCAGGAGTATCTTAAATTCTGTGCCAGGAGGGTTGAACTACTAGATAAGCAGGCTGAGCAAGGTGAAAGAAGTTAGCTGAATATGGAAGGGGGTGGGTGGGATGGGGGGGGATGATTGTATTAGGTTGTGATTCTAAAAATAATCTACAATCCAATTATTTTTTCCTGGACATTTGATTTCATCGGTCAGTAATATGGAAACAACCCCTCTCCATATTGGCCACTTACCTGAAATTTATGTAATCGTTTTAAAGTGTTTCATTTTCTTTTTAATTAATTACTTTTACTAGAAACAACCATTGGCATCAATCCAAGCAAATATATTTAATAACAATTTATGTTTAAAGTAATTAATGTCAATGCATAAAATATCATAAAACCTTTCAGTTCCTCCCACTGAGTCCTCATAAGGATTTTGTCTTTTCATTCGCAATCTCTTTTCCTCATATGATCAGAATTAGTGTGTATTCCATTCTTCTAATTCTCTCTCTTTTCTTTTATTATTTTGTAAAGGTCTTTCTAATTTATTTTTATTCTTCATACTTGTCCATATTAATTATTTCATAGGACCATGAGATCAGAGATTTAAAGCCTGGAAGGGTCATTTTAAAAGCATAGAGTACAAAGCCCCTCATTTGGAAATTGAGACCCAGAGGGCACAGGGTCACACACCTAGTATCTGAGGTAGGATTCAAACAGATGTCTTCCCGACTCTCTACCCATATACGATGTTGCTTCTAATATTCTAGTACATTAACATATCACTATTTCCCCTTTTGTTGGACATTTCTGTTGCCCATTTTTTTGCAATTTTTGCAATGTTTGCAATTTTCTTTTATACTGAATACCATCAAAATATTTTACAGTGCTTTATTGTTGTTATTTTTTATAGCACCATCAAGCTAATAATGGAATCTTCCCATTCCTTATCATAGAAGTATTTTACAGTTTTAGAGAATTGCCCAAGGCACTGACAGATTAAGCTACTTGCCCAGAGTTGCTGATCTACCAAGCATCAGAGATTGGAGTTTTACCCAGTTCCTGACTCCAAGGCCAACTTTCTATTAACTACACCACCCTGCCTCTAGTGTCGTATTACCTCTCCAAAATATCCTGAAATCTAAAATAAGAGGGATTTTTTCTCTCCCAATAAATTCAGCTTTGAACACCTTTTGGGAAATCATTGATTGGTGAAGGTCCTTATACCTCCCCCCACCTCCAAGAAACTGGGAAGTCAGACAGTTGTACCTGGAAGCTCAAGAGTTTACAGGAAAATCTTGTAAACTCTTTAGGATAGGGACTTTAATTTTTCTCTCTGTATTTCCAGAACTGAACACAGTGCTTGGCGTTTAATAAATACTTGTGGATTGATTGATTTTAGCAATAGCCAGGAGCACTCAACTCTTCAGCCTGCTACAGTTCCATTAGATGATACTAACAGATAAATGAACCTTCTCCCACCAGTGAAGGAAATAACAGACTCTGGCCACTGGTCCCCAAATCATGGATGGTCCCCAATGATCTGCTTAGCCCCACCTGGGTTATCATCCGTAGGCCCATTAATATAAAAAGCCCTGCCTGTTGAAAAATATAAATGAAAGAGAGGTTAGTTTCCAGATCTTTCTGAATTTGTATCCTAATTATAATTAAAAATAAAAACAAAAAAAAATGAAGAGTAGGAAAAACTGTGAAACCAGATGAATGACTAGTGTTTCCCATGAGCCCAAGGTCTACTCTGAAGGTTAGGTACAGGGGACAAAAGTTCCTAGAACCAAACTCATGTTAGTTGGCATTTCCTTAAACCTTTATGGAAATGGTTGGCAGAACCCCTTACACCTGTGATCTCACTTGATTCTCACTGATGGCCCTGAGAGGTTGTTGCTTTTATTGTGCCCGTTTTCCAAATAAAGAAACCAAGTCTCTTGGAGTTGAAGAAATTTTCCCAGGGTCATACAGCTAGGAAGCTTC